TCAGTGAACTCATTTGGAATAAGATGGTAAATGGTTACAGAGTTTAGGCATAGCTGAAGTAAGACCATCTATGCATCCACATGAAAACTTTTGGCTTTCACTTCAGCTTCTCTATAGAAAAGTAGTAGTCTTTTGTAAAATGAAAATTTCATTCATCTTTATTCCGTTTGCGTGGGTGCATCATTAGTGAGCGACATTCCTCATTCAATTTCAGTTTTATATCAGGCTAATTAAAGAAAAGAGAAAGCCATTATATTTGATTATTTAGATAGAATGTGATGATAAAAAAGAAGAATGTATAAATCATTTACACTTCTACAAACAACAACTCAGGTCAACAGACTGATGTTTTTTTCTTCAAAATCACACTCTTAGGTCGTGTACTTTATGATTATCATCATTATTGTCATTGTTTTTAGAAAAATATTTCTTATGCGGAAACGCATATTAGGTGAGACGAACTCAAATAGTAAATGTGATGATCCTGTGTAATATTCAAGCACATATATTCCTTAGTGAATCGTCAATTGACAGTCCGCAGTGTGAACAGTTTTGAGTAGACGAAAGAAAGGAAATGTTGTGTTCAGGTCGAAAAAAATACAGTTCATGGAGTATAATATATTCACGTTTGACAATTTTATCTTCTGAATCTCTTCGGCCTTACTTTATTACTGCCAAACACATCATGGTCTCGAGTTTATTGGAGATGTGAGGAGCCGGGAAGTGATATCATCCATATGTACCGCGTCTACAAAACGCGCACATAGGATCCGAGTAGCATTGTTCATTTGACCTCACCATGTCAAAGTAACGAACCAACTCGATTCACGCTTCGTGTATCTGGAAATTCTGATGCTGCTTCCCGTGGCCTCGCTCGCGTAGGTATAGCATTAAGTCTAAGGGCAGAACTAGCTCTCTTAGACTGGATCCTAGTAGACAGTGGTTAGTGCGCTGTCCGACTAAACGGAACAGTAAGGACTTGGAAAGATAGGGTCACTTGTCGTTGCCTTTAAGTCGTCTCTGCCTAGTATCCCACTGACTGAATCTCAGATGAATTAAAAGATGAGTTTTACAGCAAGCACTCCGACCTTCTCCGAGAAACTAGGGGCCCTGATTGATATAGTAATAGTGGTTGGTGACTTTAATGCACAAGTAGGTAAACTAAGCGAAAAGGAAAAACAATTTAGTTGACATTGAGTCGTGACTCAACGAACAGATAATGGCGACCGTCTTTTGTAGGTATGCTCAAATAACCACCTGTTTCATGCAAATACTAAGACTAAGCATAAGGAAAGTCATCCTTTTAAGATGGCGACACCCGAATTCGTCCAAACGTTGAACCCAAATTGATGACATCGCTATTGGCCGCCGGTGAAGGGTCTCCATAGAAGACTGTCGCTCATTGTGGAGCACATGCTCTGAATCAGATCATGCTCTTATGCGAGCACGTATTTGTCTGCCTCTTACTGGACGTAAGAAAGACGCTGCAAGGAAATCTCTCATGATCCTTTATAATGATAGTCAAGCCCAGAGTAGAGAATATTCGTAAGACAATCAACTTTTTGAGATTGCGACCTGATAAGTCATGCGGATTGAACGCTATATTCGTCTCTTAAGCTATTCTGTAACCCCTAAGCCAGAACTATACAGCGACCTGAACACGAGAGAGAAGACTCAAAGTATGCGGGAAGTAGTTACTTCATGGTTGTTTTTGAATGCTGGTGATCGTCCTTTACTTTTTGACAAAGTGTAACAGATGTGTATATGTAGGATTGCAATACATGTAAACATGAATTCCATTTTGTAGTTTTGTTCAGCTTATTCATGTGGTTAATTCACGTTGTTGATGATAAAATTTTGATACAGCTCAGCCGAATTTCCATTTAGAAAGTTGACATATGTATGATATTTCAGCCGATAAAACCATCAATCATACTTAATACTCTCTACTTTTTCCATATTTATGGAAACTGGTGATCACTGAAATTTGGAGCTGTTTTAGGTTCTACATTAAAATATTCATATACGGAAAATATGTTCCAGGAATATATTAGTCTTCATTGAAGATATACTGAAGAAGATTGATATCATACAGGGAAGAATGATCTCTGTCCGGATTGAGAAGCAACTCTGATATACACCACAAATAAGGTATATGTACCGTTAAAAACAAATTTGATGTTGATGATTTCAGGAAGATGCTCTACAACTGTTAATCGGAATACAGATTGTGATACTCGAGGAGACAACATTTCGATTAGTGTTGACATCTTGCTAAATTAAAACAACACAATGGTACTGCAACAAGTGATAAACTATTTAATTATTACACAGAAACCAATATTGCCGACTTGTTATGCTGAATGTATTAATTCGTTACAAAAAAATCGACTTCTGTTCGTTCATCAGTCTTTGACGTTTAGTGTAAATTAAATATACCTTTGATTTTATCTTTTCACAGTGATTTACTCGTCTATTTTAACGTCAATCACTATGAGTACAAGACCAAGTGATATGTGTAAATAATTCGATGAAATTCCTTATTGAAAATCGGTCTTCCTCTTGTGAATTAACACGATTATTAGTTACCATTTGATACAATAATCACTGTTGTAACCACAAAACAGTGTCTGAGTCAACAAGTTGTTCTCAATTTTGAACAGTTCACTTCTAATGTAATGCATTGTGTTTCTCTTAACACAATCACTAACGACTTCAATTCATATTACGGACCAAATTCACTTTAATTTCTACGTGATCAATACGAAAAATATTATCTCTGTTGATCTGAACACGTGTTAACAGTCAGTGGTATAATATATATGATGGTGATATAGAATGGATGTGGCTTTGTTCAGAAGCTACAATTTCATAAACAACAAAGGTGCAATCGTCTGACAAAATGTTTTTTCTATTAAAATAAAACTCAAGTGAAAAAGCGTAAATTTCGACACCTAATCAAAACAGTTTGTACTACTTTGATTTTAAACAATCAAATCCAAACAACCTCACGGTTCACAGTCTATTGACAGCCTACAACAAGTAACAAACTGTTTATTTGTAATCACACGAGCAAACATTTTGAACCACAATTCAACCGATGATCTGTATTGTATGTATTGTTAATCACATCCAAGAGAGTTTTCTTCAAAGGGGGTCAGGAATTTTAACCAACGTTTGAATTATATCAGCTCTTTGTTTACAATAGTTAGAACAATATTTAATAACGATCATTTCATCTACCCCCTTGATTGGTTACCAATAAACATATGATTTTATAAAATTTGATCTTTTTAGTGGTTAATTTGAACCATCAAATCAGAAAGAAATAACCAAACACTTTAAAAGTTTATATAAACCAGACAATTTTCAGTTAAATTTGATTAACTACTTTGAACAAGAAGATGAGTTGATTGTTGATTACACTTTTGACGTAAATGAATGTGTTATAGAAATTGAAATTTGAATCAACGAGATATTGTTGTTTTCTTCATCTCAACCATTTTAGATTCACCCCTTCGTCAAGTCTATCTATACTGCAATATTCGATCATCGTGTTGCTTTACAAATTCCTTGAATGTCAAGATATCTGTAAAGAACGTGAATTGTTGGACTATCACGAAATAGTTTTTGAAAACAATTCATATCATTATGTAAGTAATCAGCCAGATTCCAAAACACATACATAGTCTCTTCATTACCAATATTCACTAAGGATCCGACTAGATCAGCCTCATCCAATTGCGAATGGCAAATTTGTTCAAACTGGTCATTCAAGTGTAGGTTAACTTTATTTTGTACTGGAGTGACTTATCCATATGTTTGCATCCTTTTAGACTGTTATACCAAAATCCTCATTAAAGTTTTACGATGAAAAGCTCACTGAGATTGAGAACGTTAAGACAGGTAAGTGGATAATTTTTATTGGACTAAAATTGTTTTCTTGATCACATTTCATTCCATGAATTACATTTGATTGAACTTCACCAAGGAAACAGTTTTATGCTCCTTGTGACATTCAAGACTTCTTTGAATATCTTCTTTTGTCCAAACTGTAAATAATGTGACTTTTTACAGCAAAACAAATACAATTCATCAAATTCATTTAAGTTTTTAATGTATTTCAAAAGCATTTTGTCGAATCAGTGTAGAATTATCAATCATGTTGCATTTTTATGAAGAGAAGGAATTTGCACAATGGATTCTCGCACCCCAACCACTGGGAGTAATTATATACTCGATGGAAGTCTGATTACTTAAAGTAGAGCATTTGAATGAAGGTGAGTTCCTTTACCATTCAGTTTTAGTTTGTTTCGTTTCTTTTTCTCACATTCATTTTGCACAACTGTTTCAGTATTTAGCCAGATTATTAAACGAGAGCTGACCAGCACATAGTGATTGTTTTGTTTGTGTGTTGCACAACAATGTCAAGTGAATATGTTAAATAAAGCATTTACGAGATTCTTGAAAGTTTAACGTCTCTGAGTTGTTGTCGGTTGACCATTGAATACTCACCTTCATCATTGTAATAATATTTGAATGGTTATGATCTTCGAATCCAGGCGCTTTCTGTAAAAGCTGACCAATGAACGACCATGAACAGTCTGCTAGTACAAGATACTTTACTCGAACAATAATAATTAGAACATCAGAGTTGTATAAATTCATTTCGGTCAGTTATCAGAATTAATGAATAACAGAATCTCATAAAATGATTTGTATAGGTATTTTCAGATGCATATTAGAAATCTCTAACCCAGTCTTAAGCTCCTAGAACAGATGATACGGATGTGAAATATTCTTCTCCGTTGTTTGGATTGAATCTTTCTTCATATCGTTGAAATGATAATACTTATTGAAACTTCTTCTTAAGGGATTAGTGAGCATTTATCTACATCGGTTCATTTAAGTCTCAAAATGAAGGTGATTACTTGTATTCAAAGGCAGTCCGTTTTATAATATACAATTATCAAAGGAGATAGATATTCATTATGCAGATATTTCAACATCCATTTTGATTTTTATTATTTCAGATAAATTAATTGCTAACAGATGGTTTATTAGAAGCCAGGAAAATATTGCTCCAGGTAAGTCAACATTGAATGATCGTTCTATCATATGTGAAATATAAACACTTACATCTTCACTCATTGTGAATACTTACAGCCTGTGTGATCCGATTCTCTCCAAAAACTGAAAAATTAAGAATTTATGCCTTTTCTTGGAAGAAGAGCAGAATCATGTGTGAATCCATTCACTGTTTAGTTACAGTTGGAATGAACTGAAAAAGGCTAGATTTGATAAGTAATAAATTGATCAACACGAATGCTTTAAGTGCTTATCTCATTTTACTTGTGAGAAAACGAATGCAGAGATTCATTCGGTTTACAGCCTTTAATGAAACTTGGTTAGTCTGTGTCCCGAAATGAGTGATTTGTGTTGTATGTTCATCAGAATGATATCACTGTACACAATAAATTCATCTACACGCTCATTCAGTTTATGATCATTCGTAAATATTATCCACTTAACTTAAGATATCTTTGAAGCGACATATATGAAGTGATTCGTTTTTCATCTACTACAAATCAACACTATCATCACAGTCATTTAGTCTATTGAAATGTTATCCAACCAATTGAGTTCACAAGTTCCGATCGTAAATAAACACTCCACATCTTATGTCATATGTACTGAGGCTGGATACCTCTCCAATTATCAGATCTTCATGTAGAACTTGACGATTAATTGTTTCAATAATAATACCGCTTGATAAACTGAGCGTTTGACATTCATTTTGAAAGATGAATGCTTGTTTTATTTACATGACGTTCATTCACTTGAAAATAATTATTTCGAATTCAAGTGAAGAAAGTATTTGAGATGACACAGTGAATATCCACTGAAATAAGATCATTTTGTGAGTTGGCATAGACAGTGTTACATCAAACAATAACGTGCTTGTTTTTAATCTTTTGAGGCCTACGTGTACATTATATTCTTATTGTAGTGGTTGAAGGCAGTGTAATCATTTTGATGTATCCGAATGGAAAGATATCTATGTATTACGAGAACGTAAGTTGAACAAATGAATGGAAATGTAATTTTATTTCACGTATTTTAGATCGTTCTAACATTTCAAATTAATCAGTACTGTCGAATGTATCAAGTTACATGGAACACGATAGAAAGTGATCAACATTTTGTAATGTGCAATTAGACTGTTTGACACTACTACCAATGCTTTGATGACATACTTCAACCAAGCACTTGTTTAAAACACAGAATGATTAGGAGTGAATTGCATTCAAAAGAAATGATGTGTTCATGCCGAATAGTAACAGACAGTGTATGCTATAGTACTGTACGGAAAGAACCGTATACTCTAAAGCTTTCTTACATCTTCTGATGATCGACTATTCGGAGTGTTTACTAATGAATATTCCGAGCGTCGAGTTCCTGCAGTCGTTTACAATCACATTTCATTTCAACTAACGTAGATATTCATCTCACATTTCACGATAGATAGATAGATAGATAGATAGTTCATCGACATTCACTGAAATTGACGACTGGAGTGATTCAAAACATCTTTGTACATCAGTTGGGACATACATCATAAAAAATTTGGGAATACCAGTAAGCTTAATGTAAGTGTAATTAGTTGTCTGTAAATAAGTTAACGTGAATGATGACAGATTACTTCAAAGAATACTTGGTTTTTATATAATGAGTTGTGCGTTGACATATCTTGACTTGAACTTCAAATACTTTTTTCCAGATTCCTACACAATTTGAGCAACATAACAGTGGAGGAGAAATGTTCCGTCAATTCCAGTGTGAAAGGCGTAAGAAACATTTCAACTAATGTTGTTAACATTTTAATGTACAGTGAAGTTCATCACCAAATATCTATTTGCTAAGACTCACTCAACCGGTTTCATTGTGTGAAATAATTAAGCTTATGGTTACCTATTGACTAACAAGGACTGTTATGTATGAATGACGGTATTATTCAGACGACATTTGCACCCACGTATTCACTCACAAACAGTACGACAGTCACATATGCAGTCCTTAGTTATATCATTCTTCAATGCAAAAGCAAGTGTGTTTTGTATGAGACAGACATAAACGAGTGGTTTATATTTTCTTTATAAAATGCACAATCAACATGATTCACTGAAATGATCATGCGTTAATGAAAGATATAGCTGAGTTTAAACACAAGTTTTGAATGCAGGTGATAATCCGGTGTACAGTGTTTAATTATTGAATGTGAGAAACTGCACCAAACGTTAGGTCAAGTGATACATGTTGCTTGTTTGAAATGCATTAGTGAATCTTTAAAGATTGAAGATAACTATCATATTTGTATTGTTTGTTTGAAACACCCGATCGATATTTTGGACTGCAACTGATCAGTCTGTTATAGTAATACATATGCATCCTTCAAAGATTTTCTGGATGTTGCCTTAAGTCACAAGCTTTTTGGGCAAAACTGTATAGTGCATAGCAGTGGAACCAATTGCAGTCCGAAACATCAATGGGAAGATTCAGTAATCGATACGAAGATGAGACAAAACATTACCCAATTGTACAAGTTATTGTGTATCTGAGATGACAAGCCTAACGTGTATAACGGGACGACATTTGAAGTGCCTAGTGCTGGGTTCCAGTCTGAGAGTGAACATTAATTCTTAGATGCAGGAACATCCAGCTGAGAAGTCCTACATTAGATGAAGCGTACGCCTTGAAATGCACTGCTAGTCATCATTCCTCATTGGTTTGTAACTTTCTATGTAGCTTATTTACAATTTAAAATGTAAAATGTTGATTGTATTAATTTCTCCGCAAAATAACACAGAACATTTATCGATTTTATTTTTTGACTTACTGGTTGAACATCTATCAGTTTTGAAACTCAGAGTGTGGTACAACATAATATTTGGAGATGTAAGATGATCTCCACATTAACCTTTATGGCAAATGTTTAGGTTTCATGTTTTTATCGCAAATTAGATTATGCAAACAACTTGTTACACATAAAAAACAAATCAAAATTCTAAATGTCTTCTTTCGTTCAATTTATCGAAAAAAAGCTGTTTTACATCAAATACTTATCCCTCAAAAATGGGCGAAAACTGGATCGTTGGTGGAGTTTGAAGTTATCGGAAGTATGTTAAACCTTATCTAATAAGCATTATCTATTTACACACTTGATGATTTGACTATTGTTTAATCAACTTGACAATTTTATGTGTATTTGTGGTCAGCTATTACATTGTGTACAGGTAACCGTGTCAATCGACGTTTCAATTACCACTAATATTTACACGCCGTTTCATGAATGAATGTACCAAATGATAACAGGCCCATTTCGAATTAATATTAAAGTCTTCATTTAGATTAAATTAACTTAAACACATTGTCACAAAACAATAGATGAGATGATATTAGTCCTGAGAAAGATTAGGTGTTAATCAGTTGATGATGCATGGATGCGGAAGTGTCTGTTGTTTTCACTCAATATGTGTAATATCAAATTTAACTTAAGTATTGAGTTCGAAGGAACACTCCACGTGCTTGTCATTACTGTAAAAACAATATAAAACAATATAAATTTCACTGTTTGGTCACACTTATCCGATACATTGAAGGTATAGTTAGAGGACGGCAGCAAATTACAATGTATCATAGCTAGTTTCAGAATTAATTTCACAGTGTGAAAATGCATTCCTTCTCATGAATATGTAAATTGAGTAACTACAAACAGATTTCAGTCCACCAATGTGTTAGTGTTAAAATGACATTTCGACTACTGAGAGAATCATTCCACTATCCAATGATCAAAGAAAATCCAGTTTTTGTTGAATATAATACGGCCATATACTTCAAGAAAATCGTCACTTTTTCCATGTCTGTCAATTGAATCAACACAATTGAAAATGAATTTTCATTCTGACAACATCTGACTTTATTTCACCAATATCAAATATAAAAAAAACTATAAAACCATCAAAAATCAAATGCACTGCGCATTGATAACTCAATGACCACATCGTGTGTACATGTCTGAAGGTGAACAGTTATTGAAAACCAGTAAAATTCACTTGTCAAAATTCATCCATCACACATGACATTCCAAGCAGTTTCATTCAATTCAAACATGCTGTCGTAAAATGTGAGTGAATGTGAAAGTGTACTAATAATTGCATTATGCAATGTGATGACTGTTTTCCAGTGAATGAAATAGTCACTTAACTCCAAAATCACCATCACATTATTACATTATTGATACATGTTTACAATTTACGTATCTTTTGTTCCATAAAATGAAATGAAATAATTGTGATTCACCAATCATTTGTTTTATAAATTGAAATGAAATTACACTATTCTTTTCACAGCATATTGTCCGAAATACAAAACACCCGAAACATGCAAAAATGCAGCAACAATGAATGAAAAATGCTTCTGGTGTGGAAAGGTTAACAAATGCATTGAAAGTAACGATCACGAAACTCATGACTTAAAAGTTAATGATTGCCGTGTCGAGGTAACTACTTGTTAAACTTATCAGGTTGTTTTCAATGTCACCAAGTTCCACATTGTGAGTAAATACACTTACTCGAAAGAATATTTTATTTCTATCAATAAGAACTGACGTATATTCTACCCTGAGTGACTAAACTACAGCTTTCTATACATTGACCATTTCTAATCAGATACAAGTAGAATGCTTTATTTGCAGGGAAACAGATAACAATGGATTTATTCACAATTTGGCATCAATGCTTGAAATCATTATAATTTTTCAGTTCATTCAATGTGTATGATGTTTTGAGAATTAGTGAGATTTAGTCAACTCACATTAATGAAATCCTGAACAAGGATTTCTGATTCTCTATTGAGAACCTGGATAGTTTGTCTCAATAAAGCTGTCAATGTTTAGTTTATTGATTTATATTTGAATGGTGATTAGATGTGACAGTCAGAATACAAATTTCATCACACAAACGAGTCGTCAATTAGTTGTTGAATGATGTGTACTCATCACTCTGATTGCTCAATTCGTACCACGTGTTCAAATGATTGTAAAAATGCGAATTGTGAATAACTAATTGTGGAATCCTCTTCTGTCATCACTACTGACAACATTGTATAATGAATAATTTGATGTTATTAAATGAATGTTACTGTTTTAATTATTCAGAAGATCTCCGAGGTTAATGAATTGAGTACACCAACACCCACTATTTTAATTGAAAGCACTTTGATGAGCTCCGAAGTTCAGTTAACTGAAAACCTCAATGAAACTACCGAGGGAACCGATCAATACTCGGTAAATATTTATTATTTGGTAACTAATGCTACCTTTTTTGTTTTTCTTTAGAATGTTACTGTTGAAATAAGCAGAGTGGAAAGTCAGAGCAAATCATCCCTCTACTTATATATCGTGATACCATTATTCGTATCATTATTTATTGTGTGTATCTGTGGTATTGTTTGGAGATACTTCTATTTAAAAAGAAGAAGCAATGAATGATTCATAGAAGCATCTCATAACTCATTTGAAATATTCTGACACGGTTTTTTCTATTTGCTGTTTCATTTGTAAACCTTAGATTTCATTATTCGTTTCTATAATTTGTTGAATTTCTTCATGGAATTCTGATAGTTGATTATGTGATAACCGATGCACTTTTATTGATTAAATAATGAACTCAGTTTTTATGAATTACGTCATTGTTTTCATTCAACTGAACCAACTGACTTTTTTATAAGAGCTTCACAATATTTATTTTGAAGTTTAGTAGTTTTGTGTATTCGTGATTTTGTGACAACTGCAATCAACAATGAGTCCATTGTGAATGTTTATTCTGATGAATTCTCATCACTAGGAAATATCACTTCGTATTAACAACGGTGAATGTTATAAAGTGAGTCGTCGAAGTATCTTATCAAGACAAAATTAGGAACTTCGGTTGTTGGTCACTTGATTATTCATTGCTCAATATATTCTGAGTGACAAGCTATTTTAACTCAGTGTCATTAAGACTAATTGTGTTTTCTTCCGTTATTTTATTATTGACACGGCCAGCATACGGTCACTTGTTTCACTCAAAGCTTAGTCTTTGGAAAGGTCTTAACTAGAGTTGTCTTTATCAGGTTCATCCAAGATTCCGATGCTCTGATTTAAGAGTTGATATATGCATTTAAAAAGTGATGTAGAGGGATGAGCAGTCAGCGCTCTTCAGTATCGTGAACGTTTTGTTTCCGATTTCCTCTAACGTGACAGTTGTATTTTTAATTTCAACATCAAACTCTTTTTTATGAAGTGCCGAACAAGAGTCTTCATTTATAAATTCGCCAAAAAATTTGCCAAAGCGATGGTGTACATTCAACTTACTCCCCTTCTGTAGATTTTGTACTTACTACCTTGGATGTTGTTATGGTTCCGCGGGATTGAAAAATACCTTAGATGTATAAAAAAGGGCATCACTTAATGTTGAAAGTCTAATCTGAAACGTGAAATTCCGGACTATTTTGTCAAGTGTCATTGATTATCCACAGGTGATGATGGCATTTTGGCTCAAACGATTATGCCGTTATTCATACTTTGTTATATAAATTCGTTTTTGGCAATCCCCATAGAGAACATTTAGTGTTGGAACAATTGCACCTTTGATAAGGCTGACATCTTGGCGATCAGAGATACATTCAAGCATGTATTACACAGTGAACACTTGTGGAAGATATTATTAGCCAAAAAGCCATACTTCAAAATGAACTAGATAGTCTGTGTCATCTGAAGCCACTATTTGTGATTATCACACACCAGCACCCACAGCGAGTTCACATAGAATAGTAGAGAACCGAATGTCATCGACACATATGTCTCAGATATCTCTAGGTATGAAATGATGTATAATTCTTACCAAACATTGGTGCACTATAACCGTCAACTACCTGTCAGGAACAGTTAATCTTAAGTGAAGTTAATCTTTTCACATATTGTAATAATATCATTTTGACTGTCGATTAATCGCTTGCATAACAATGACTGCCATTGACAAATGTAAATATAAGGAGTAAGCAAAACGGAAATGAATACCAGTCAAAGGAAATTATTCGTGCAGTTTACTTAAAGCAGGTGTATACAACTAGTTTGAGTTTATTGTGACCCATCAGGTGTTGACAAATTCGAGTCCTTGCATAGTAGATTTTTGAAACATTTACAGGAATCAGAATTCGAAGTTGAGTGAATCAAACGTAGACCGAAAATTATTTGGTTCAGAAAACAGTGTTCAAATGGTTATAAGTTCTTCATGAAACGAAAATGAACTCTCCTACATTAGGTTTGACTACTCTTATCATCAAGAAGATTTCCGTTCATAGGAATGCTTTCGCGTTATAATAATTTGCTATTATAGATGGTCTCAATTATGTAAATGAAATACTAAAGTTCTTGGGAATGCGTGCATCATATATTCGCAATATAATGAACCAATTTTGTCCAGTGTAATTCATTTTATGGAATAGCAAGTAAGAAAAAAATATTCTGTAGGCTGAATAACATTTATAGTTAAATATTGAAGACAAATGGAGTTTTATAGTGAAAAACCAGATCCTTTGAAGTAGTTACATATAACTAATAAATTCTTGTATACATATGTATCGAGGAGTCCAACAAGGATTGATCGATTCAACAATTTGTCAGGTCATATATATCCACAAACAATAGGTGACCTGTCAAAACCAACTGCATATATCCTATTTGACTGTAACAAAACACGTTTATTATAACCCTGATGTGAGCAGAGTAAATGGAAAGACTAGGCTAAACACAAGAATTCAATCCATCACACGATCAGACCTTCAATTATTCTATAAGTTATCTGCAAATTCGTAATGACATTCTTCCTCAGTTTGTCAATCATTTACGATAATGGGTCTCAGGTTATACAACGATTACTGCTGAAGTACAACGAGCGAACATTTATTCTGGCTATTGGTCAAATCAATGTGAACATTTCAATCCAACATACCGCGTATTTTCCATGAAAATCAATGGTTGTTCTAGCGTCATCTGATGTCTCATCCAAGTCACAATCTGTTCGCCTTCAAATTACATAAAATTGATAAAGATGTTTTAAGCTATTTCACACTGGATTCTTTCTCGTTCAACCATATAAAGTATGAATGCATACTCGCTGCAAAATTGAAATTTTACACTAGTAATCAAAGTCAGATGAAACAAATCGCTTCTCATGCATTTCAACAACTCATAATACACTTCATTAATTCCAGACACAAAATGGAAAATTCACGCGAACATTCTCCATTTTTATGACAACAAATTATCATCATCCAAAAATCATCAGCATTACTGTCAACAAAATAATGGTGTTATTAATAACAATAATCACCATTATTATTATCATTATTTTCATAACTTCAAACATTGTGATCAACATTATCAATAACTTTAAACATTATCATCAACATCCCAATCACTATAGTGATTATCATAAATATCATCTCACTGAATATCATCATCATCATCTCAATAAAGACGCAGTAGTCAAACGGAAA